ATAATCAAAACCGGATCTAGATTTAAAGAAAATAAAAAAGACAAAACCAATTTCTCATTTACCACTCCCAACCGTTATGACTCACTCAACACATCCGTCTGATGTAAGACACTATTTTACTTTCCTATTTACTTTACTATAATCCCTTATACGCAAAGGAAGTATTGACATATTTTTTTTATATGGAAACATAAATTCCATAAAATATATGTAGACAAACATTTTTAAAAAGTGTTAGCGTTTTAATTTCCATCGATCTGTTCATTTACAATAATTTTTCAAATAAATTACATTTCCAACTTATTAAGTTCCATTTCGCAAACATGAAGTCCAAACTTATTTAACGTACAAAAGATGAAATTTAAAACTGTCCTAATATTGAAAAATATATTAAACGGGTCATAATCTATTTTTTTTTCGTAATAAATCAACTAATTAAAAAAAAAGTCCAATACCTTCATGGGATTATCCACTTAAAACATTTTACTTAAATGATTTTATATTTATGCAGCAAGTCGCTTATTTGATCAAAAGTGGTATTCGTCTTGGTAATCGCTTATTGTCCATTCTTTGGAGTATGATTTTTGTCATTATTTTACACGCCAGCGATAATAGCCTAATCGTTTTGTTCCCTTTGTATACATACATCGAAGTATAATTGAAAGAGTTCAATACATTTCAAATATATTGCAAATCTAAATCGAGAATAAAATAATACCGGATAAAATTAATGCAAAACAATTGTCAGACTTCAGATTAATTTAATTGCTGAATAACACTTTGAAAAGCGTAAATCAGTGATGGTTTATTGAAAAGTTTTAATTTTTGTGCTTTCTGGGTAATTTATTATGAGTTAAATTTTCAGATAGAAGTTATTCAGTTTTTTTTTGTTTTAGCTGTGGACTGAACGTAGTCGTTTTTTACAAAAATATTCGTAGTTTATTGCTGCTTTATTTATAAGTCCATACTTATTTGAGGTATAAGGGATAAAGAAAAAAAATAGTCAATGTATTGAAAAATATAGTAAAATATGTACATGCAAGTATGAGAAAAAATAATTTTTAAAAATTTAATATTTTTCAAGAAAATAAGTGTTTAAACGAGATGGATCAACCTGTAAATATTATTATAATACTGTAGATTAACGGTGAGTCCAAAAAGCGGAGTCTACTGTGCTAAATGTTTATGTATATTTAAATATATTCAGCTTCGGTTTGAATTGATTTTTAGCATTGTAGTGTATAACTTGTAGCACTTGTTGTGGCGTAGTCTTAGAATATACATATATTTTAACTCTAACATGGTTGGAACACTGAACACATAATATATGTTAATGCAAAGTTCCCTAATATATACAGGGTATAATATAAAGTTCTACCGAGCTTGAAATGAGACATTGAGTACAATAAATGGTAGTCATTTTTTTTTTATTTAAAAATTAATTAAAATAGAACTCGCATCTCATTAAAAAAATAGTCATACGAAAAAAATTTTTTCGGATTTTATTATTTTGGTACCTGGCCACATTTGCGTCCACCGAGTGGCCACTGAGTGGCCACTGAGTGGCCGGCATGTGACCGAAACCAACATATGGCAAGTGACACATCATTATCAGTTTGAATTTTATTCTCAATTCAGAGGCTTCCTTAGAATTATTTTATATTAAATTATCTGCCGCATGTGCCATATGTTGGTTTACGTCACATGGCGGCCACTCAGTGGCCACCCTGTGGACGTATGTGTGGCCAGATACCAAAAAGTCACGTTACATATTAATTCAACAAGATTTTTGCTACCGATTTCAAACCTAAAATAATTTTTTTGTAAGACAATTTTTTAATGAGATACGAGTTTTATTTTAAACATTTAATTTTAAAATACAAAAAAAATGAATACCATTTATTGTACCATAGAGCATCCTGAATGTCTCATTTGAAGCTCGGTAGAACTTTACATTACACCCTGTATATATATTTTATATACATATTTCCAATAGATAGCGATGAACAATATACGTATGTATATAAATATATATATATATATGTATAGTATTGTTTTTTACCCGAGAAACCTATAAATCAAATAACACGTTTATAAAAAATATGTACTGAAAATAAAGTGATTCATATATTCTAATACTCACCGTGTGTAATATGCCTCATCGCCTCTACGATTGCTGTTGTTTTTGTAAATTCAATAGCAGGCTAGTAAAAATTTAAACTCCTCTAAATAATGTAAATATGTTAGTTATCAAAATAAGAATATGCTGCTTATGTTAATAAATTCGCATAAACAGTTTTGAAAAACATATTTACATTGCACTGTATTGCTCGACATAACAGATTCTATTCGAAAAGTCGTTACCAAAACCTTAAAGCAGTCGGGTTTAACTATCGTTGATATTGTTTAAGTAAGGAATATTCTCAAAACTTCAAAAGTAGTAAAATTGTACACTTTCAAAATATTTTTCTAATTTTCTAATTTTTTACGCATATAGACATTCAATTACATATAATCCACTTGTCCTATTTCATTATACATCAAGATCATAAGTAAGTAATACTATCAGACTTCAAAAGTTGTAAGTACGCTTTTAAACAAATATGGGTGAACTTTAAATACGTTTATCTAAGAATAATTTAAAAACAATATTCTATATTTAGTATACTAAACATTTGCATCCATGTTTCTTTATAATGTTTTCATCAATTTAAAACCAAATACCATTTTTTTAAATTTAATCCTTCGGAAAGTGAAAAATAATTGAAATTTGGATTTGAGGATATTTGTGAGTACAAGCATGCCAGAAAAACATTATATTACAATTTTGACTCAATTCGATAGCTTTTCGCTATGTTATAGAAAGTTAAAAATTGACTGACAATATATTTTTTAGGGATTTTGTGGTTCTGGGGGTGAAGATGTTGACTTTTTCAACTTTTGACCCACTAAAGTCACCGAATCACATTCGATTTCTATCCATCTAAGAATATCTAAAGTAAACCAGGTCATAGTCAAACATGGTACCGTGTTTGCAGATACAAAAAAAAACACACACCATAGGAATACTAGCTCGGCATCGATGCTAAAAACAGATTTGTATATAAACTAACAAGTTTATTTTTCTGTATTGCCGAAATATGGACAAACATAATGTTTTTGAAATTTAAATGACTATTTATGATGAAACATTTTTTTTAATTGTATCTTTAAAATACACCTCAAGTTTAAGCTATTTTTCATCTTGTACTTTTACTAATTTAAAATATAAATTTTCTAATAACGTTTCATCCAAATCATTATTCTTTTTCGATTATATCATAAAAATGTTTGCTATAAAAGCCACATGGACTGAGAGTAACAAGCATTTTGCTTTGTCATGTTTTGCAATGGGAAATTTAGTGTAAAACGTAGTCTTAAAAGATAACTATAAAAAAAAAAAACAACACATCTAAAACAATTTTAAAACCAAAACATTCTCATCTCGACCACTCCGAAAGACCCGATTTTTATATACACAATACATCTTACAAATGAAATGTTTGCAATTTGCAAGGCTCTATTAAAGGTTTTCACATAGGTATTACATATCATATTTTAACAGTTTGCCAAATTGCCCCAACACCACGGGACACATTTTTAATTCTCGTTCCGCGTACGCCTTGATATCACTTGAAATTGTTTTCGTTGCTAACCCAAAATAAACACTTAGTTTTTAACAATGATAGCCACGGTACTCGAAAGGTAGCTGATGATTATTTTATGTTGTAGCCAAAGGTTTTTTAGTCGTTTTTTAGTGATTGGCCTTAATCGATTTATTGGCAAAACATTCACTTGGTTATTTTGAATCAATTTAACCATTCATTCAAGCTTGTTCGTTGTGAAAACAATACATAATTTAAAAAAATGAACATCCCCGCCACCATTCCCAGCCCCATCCCTATCCTCATCCCTATCCCCACCCTCATAAGAAGGATATATAAGGTTATAGAAGGATATATCTGTAACAACTGTGAATAAGTGTGCAAGTCGATTTCAGTGATTTTAAAAGGAAGCAATTTTAAACTTTGACCAGCTGCCATAAATTGCTACTTAACCAATAACTCACATCTCTCTCAAGGTTTATTTGATGGTCCATCGAATTAGACATTTATTCAAGGTGTGCTAACGCCTCGGACTACATCCTAATGTACATAGTAAATTTTGACCAACATTCAACTTACACATTTATTCACAGTCGTTACAGATATATAAAGATACATTTTCGATGTCGGTGTCGATTTTTCCGGTTAGTTGTGTTCCAAAGTAAAAATAAATACTATACATTACAATACGGGACAGTCAATAATAAGAAATCGCGACAAAAGTATGCCCCCTTAAATCATAGTGGTTGCCTATACATCTTAGACCGGGCGCTAACAAAATAGTAAATATTATGATAACACATTTTGATAATTATCAAATACAATTATACAAATTACAAACGTATTACTAAATATTATGTCGATGATCAAATATTATACATTACACGTTATAAGTTATATTAGTTTCTATGATTTTGTGTTTTTAAATTATTTTATAGTGTGTTTCAGAAATACATTTGTAAATTAATAACTGTATATAAACTTTATTATAAACTCATTATTTTTTTTAACTTTTTGTTTTTTACAGTCTTAAATCGTAGATGATTATTCCATTTTTTTATTAAAGAATTTATAGTGATATTTAATTTCTTATCTATAAATAAGAATTTACAATTTATACAAATATTAGGAATTATAAGTATGTAACGATTAAGTAACTCAATCATTTTAGTTTTAATGTTACATTTATTTTCTAATAATAAATTCTACCTTTAGAGTCCTTTGTAAAAAAAAAATTTTAAAACCAAAACTTTCTCATCTCGACTACTACGGAAGACCCGAGCCTTATATAAATTGCATTTAAATTTATTAATTTTTCTAGATAAAAATGAAAATTTCCTATGTTTTAATATCATTAATCTGCGTAAATGTTTTGGCAGATATAAGTATAAGTAAGTATTTTATTTATACTTAAGCACACAATGTAGATGAAAATCTAAAAAAAATGAATATTTAACTATTCTTTACAGTGAACTTTATAGAGATGGTTGAAATTTCAAGTGAGTTATATTTTATAATCATATAGACTAACTTTAAGAGTTTTTAAATTTCACTAATTTTATACATACCTATTTTTTTAAAACATTTACTACAGACATACAAATCAAGAAAGCTTCTGAATATAAAGATGATCATATAGAAAGTAAGATAATAATCAATGTACTAATATATAATTGTATTACAATGATTGCCTAGGTGTCAAATTACTTGTAAAAAAAATATAAATTAATTTTTATATTTAAGAGGATGCCGCCCATGCAAATTTATGTTATAATAATACGAGTTTGGCTTTCACGATACAGCGCCTCCAAATATTGTCTTACAAATGAGTTACCTTTATTACCTAAAAGTTATGAAACTTAAAATTGTCTTTAATTTAATATTTTGTAAAAAATTGTCAGCACAAAACTTCTTAATACGTGGGGGGAGTGGCATCTTCAAAATGTGGTAGTTTTATATTTTTCATTGGATCTGTGCACTGTCGCATGTGGGCACGAGCTTTTACTAATAGTTACTATAATTTACTATGAGCACACTTGACTCTAAAAATTGACTATTTACCCTAACAGGGGTAGTTGCCTAATGCATGGTGTAATTGTTTCTAATGATTTTTTTTTATTAATTTTGATTTTATTTGGAACTTTTCTAAACGTCAAACTTGTATTTGTTTGTTCTAGATGGATTGGAGCATGTACTTACAGTCATGATAGATAAAGATCACTATGCAATGAGTAATAATAATTATGTGATATTAAAAATCTTGGTTATAGAAGAAATGTACCTACAGAAAAAACAACAAAAATATATCTTTGACCCTTTCACTGCCACTGTGTTTTACACACTGCTACATGTCACAACTATCGCCATACTGAAAAAGGTTTCGTAATTAATTGATTGTAGCAAAGTAGCACGTCTAAGACAGTGAAAGGGTTAAGGCTAATGTTCAGTGATAATAATCTTATTTCGTCTTATTCTATTCCCTCATGTGATTCAATACTGCCATTGTCATTTCATAAGGTTTCAAACTTATTTAATATTATAGAGCTAGCCATTTTATTTCGAATTTCAACGCACATATTATTTTTTCTTAGCTTTTCTACTCTAGATTATGATAAAATAGAGTATTAAATTCAATACTAACAATTTTTTTATTGCTATTTTCAGTATATTTAAATCAAATGTTCACTGTACCGGGTAATACTTTATTAACATATTTTCACACAGTCGCTTGATAATCAATAAGTAAATACATTTTTCGCTTTAATTTCAGAACATGCAGAAACTCACAATTTTGACGTCCTACAACGTAAATAATTAACACTTTAATATAATACAAAGAATTATATATTGTAAAATATTGGTTTTATTTTCAAATTTAGATTCCATAATGACAGAAGAAGATAGATTGCAATGGGAAATTTTTGAGATAATAGGTGAATATAAAATTATCAGTTTTTTAATAAACAACATTCTAAGGCCAATAATCCTCTTAAAACGTAAATGTAAGCAAACTACAAAAATATTAGATTATTACATATCTTAGGTTTTTCAAACACATTTTTAAACAATTTCGAAGTGTACTGAATATAATTAGGTTCATCAAGGAATAATAGGTCACCAAAAATGTTGTGGAAGACAGAATTAATACAGATAACAAATTTGATTATTATTAAATTCATTGTGAAGTAAGTATTATTTCAAACGTTACTACTTGCTAGAGATAAATTTTATGATAATAAAATATTTTGCATTGACTTATGGATAAATACATCAAACTGAGTTTGAATAACTAAATTATTTTTACAGGTATTCCGGCGGCTGATGATGAAAACCAAAGTAATTACAAAGTTATTCATTAGTAGTAAAAAGAACTTATGATTTGTTTGAACGATCAAATTTTCTTTATACATTAATTTGTGTTTTCTAAAAAACTTAGTATATTAGGTAAATATAAAAATACAAATTGAAAGATAATAATTATTACAGGATAATTCTATATGGTTAACACAATCAATTTATTTTTAGAGAAATTAAATTTTTTTTTGTTTTATTAATTGAAACTGTTATGAATAAATACAACAAACCGGGTTTCATTAACTATATACCTGATTTGCTTTTTTGTTATAGATTGTACACCGCAAGATTATGAAAACAATAATATTTACAAAGATATTCGTTAGTAGTATAAAAGGCGTATTACTTGCTTGATTGATAAAATTTTCTTTTTATATTTTTTGTTTACACAATATTGACCATAAAAGTAATTTTTAAAACACTTAAATTTGGTAGCTAACTAAAAAGAATAGACAAAATAATAAACATAAAAAGATAGATAATTATAAAATTTAGAGTGATGAAGGTATTCATTCAAACGTTGTTAGAGAGTTATTTTATATTATTAATAAGTTTAGCTTCGATTAGTTCGTTTAACTTAGTTTTTTTTTAGAGTGACTGTTGTGGATAAATTCATCAAACCGGGTTTAATTACCTAATAAACTTTTTTTTTCTTAATTTACAGGTATTCCGGCGGCTGATGATGATAACCTAGGTATTTACAAAGTTATTAATTAGTAGTAAAAAGAACTTATGAATTGATTGAACGATCAAATTTTCTTTATACATTATTTTTTTTACACATTATTGACAATTATGTATATTTTAAAAACACATAATTTACTGTTTGGTCAAAGTTATCTCATTTTAATTGAAACTGTTATGGATAAATACAGCAAACCGAGTTCGAATAACTAAATTATTTTTTAAATTATTTTTACAGGTACTCCTATGCCTGCTGATACAACCAAAAGTAATTACAAAGTTAATTACAAACAATTTAGTAAAGTTTAGTTGGGGAGACTTACTGTTATAATAATTTTAACAACTATTATATTTAGAGTAATTTTTGGAACAGCGTTTATCAATTTTTAACATTTTACCACAAAATACCATTTTAACGTAATAGATTGTTGACGTTTTATGTTAACAAATACTAATGACTCGACAGACATAATACGATACTAGTTCTTGTTGTTTGATATACTATCAAGAGCTGGTTGAGTCATAGCACTCATAGCACTAATAACGCTTCATTTATCATTGTACTCTACGCTAATAATTGACATTGGAAACCCCTCACATCTTACCTTTCCGATAGGAAACAATGCACTAAAGCGAACAGAGCGGTTTCTGAACCTTCTACTATCTCCTCAAGCGTCTATCAATGGGACCACCTTAGTCCTCTTTATTTCGTTAGCTCATTAGAGGGACTTTTGCAAACACAAGAAGTTCTTTTTTTTTGTAGACGACATGTTATATATTTTCATTAGTATTGCTTTTTCTGCGGATTATTGAAACCTACAAGCTGAAGTTATTTGATTTCTTGACTGTGCTCATCTCCTTGTTTATTATGGAATTTTTCAGGAGCTATAATTCTCTTCTACATGGTTTATGTACTTCGTAGTATTCCACTGAAACGAGTTTTTTCTATTAAAGATCTTGGCCTCCGCTATATTTTGTGTATACATGGGGTAGCTATCAGGATCTTAAGAGCCATCGGCTTAATGCTAATACTATACTTTGAATTAATTGATTGGTCAAATTAATCTGATTTTTAGAGTGACTGTTATGGATAAATAAAACAAACGGATTAGATTATCTGTATAATTATTTTATATTTTTGTTACAGTTATTCTTAATGACAAAGTCGTTCGTTAGTTATAAACTATAGAAGTTATGACTTGATTGAATGATATAGTTTTCTTTATATAAATTTTTGTTCATCGTGTAAGATATTATTGTTTGACTGACTATTGCACTTGTATATTGTTCTTTGTATGAGATACTTTTGTACATTTGTGAAGAAAATGCGTATTAGTGATTTAAATGTCAAAATAAAACATACATATTATTAAATACTGTATTATAAACCAGTTTATATATAAATTTATGCAGGTAATGGAATTTCGAAAAGGACAACATTTAATAAGGCATTTATATGTCTTAAAAAAAAACTTGGAAAATTTTGTAAATATAAATATACAATTTTAAAGTATTACTTTTTACATAACAGTTTATTTGTACTATATTGATAATTTGTGGGTTTTTTTTAGAGATAATTAAATTTTTTTGTGTAACAGTATTACACATATATTTTAACTTATTTCTTGAGCGGAGGGGGGAATGGGCCTTATCGACTTAAAATCAACACTATATTTGGCATTGATTAATTGAAACTGAGATGAATAAATACAATAGACCGGGTTTAGTTAACTAAAAAATGTTTTACTATTTATTTTACAGGTACTCCTGCGCATGCTGATGAAAACAATAGCATTTACAAAGATGGTAGTAAATATATAATATTGCTTGTTTGAAAGATACAATTTGCTTATCAAATTCTTTTGTTCACACAATAATAACTAAAAAGTTAAATTTTAGTTGGGGAGCCTTAATAACATTTTACCACTATTATATTTAGGGTATTATTTTGATCGGCGTGTATCAATTTTTATGAATACACTTATGCTCAAGAAGCGGTTTCTGATCCTTGTATTACGACATAAACATTTTTTTAGTATTACCTTATCAGTGGATGGTTGCCTACTACATATTAAACTTAGGTTTTTTCTGTATTTGGCTCATCTCCATGGTCTGGCACTGTATGTTGAAAAATGTCATATTTTGTCATTTTCCTGGAACCGTATTCCGCTGCTGCACGATTTCTTTCTTCATGGTCTTCAACTCCATCGAGTTTTTTCTATTAATGATCTTAACACCCTATGTACGCCTTCTCTACATTTTAGAGATCACTTAAACGCGGTAGCTAAAAAGGCTTTAAAAGTCATAGGTTTTGTGTTAATATTATACTTTGCATTCATTAATTGGTCAAATGATTCTCATTTTTAGAGTTACTGCTATGGATACATACAACATCACGGTTTGACTAACTATATAATTTATTTGTTATAGGAAATTATGTTACAGGTAGTACTGTGCATGATGATGAATACAATCGAATTTACAAAGCTACTAGTTAGTAGTAATCAGAACTTATGGCTTATTTGAAAGATAAAATTTACTTTATATTTTATTATGTTGTTCCCATAACAATTTACTATAAGTTGGGGAGACTTGTTTTAAGGGTTCTAGAATGAAATAGTAATTTTTGCAACCTTACCAAACTTAGAACCAGATAAAAATGGAACGAATACATAATACATTTTCAACATACGCGCCTTTTTAATAAAATCTTATCTCTATTTTATTTGTTCACCCCTTCTAGGCTCCATCAATTTTAGGCTTCATCCTGATATTCCAGTTATCAAATTGTTGTTCGTTCCTTTCCTCTGATTGTACTAATTAGGGCATTAAATTTTAAAAATAAAACAAATAATTACGAAACTATTAATCTTTTCAAACCAGTTTTTCATATAAATATTTATGCAGGTACCGAAACTAATAATTACCATAATTTTTTGCGTTCCTTCCCACTCTGATTGTACTTATTAGGGTGTTAAATTAAAAAAATCAAAATACATACGATTATATTAATAAATATTATATTTTCAAATCAGCTATTTATACACTTATGCAGATACTGAAACTTTAAAATTGACCGAACTTGGAAAGGCGAGAAGAGGTCTTACTGGAGATGCTATTATAAATGTGCTTACCAAAAAATTAGGTGATTATAAATAAAAAGATTTTATATTATTTATTATTTAATAACATTTATTTTTACAGCATGATTCATTTTAAATAACACAGTATTTTATAGACTACTTAACACAACTTAAAAAAATTTAATTTTTTGTTTTTTTTATAATTTCTACAAATATACTCAATATTTATTATAAAATTTGAAATTTCAGCTCTTTTTTTTTCTTATCGTGTTTATAGTGACCCCTGTTTGAAATTTTCATATGTAAAATTTTTCAGCTTTCTAAAAAAAAATTTTAATAATTTTAAAATTTTGGACAACACAAAAAATTTACCTTTATAAATTACCAACTCATTTTTAATAACTATTAATACAAAAAAAAGTATATTTTTTTTTTAATTCTGAGATTTTTTACATTTATACATGTTTTATATAATTGTATTACTTATTTCATTTACGTTTAATAATTGTGTCAAATTAATTAGCATCAATTGCACAAATAAGAAAAATAGTGGCTAATAATTGTTAATTTTGGCAATTTTTAACAACTGTATTGTGTTTTTTTAGCTTATATCACCTCGGTTGACAAGAAGTATCCTGATTACACATTAAATGTACAATTTTTCAGCTTTCTAAAGAAAATTCTTAAATTTTGGGCAACAAAAAAAAACATATTTATAAATTATAAGCTCATTTTTATTGACTGTAAAAACTTATAATTTTTTCAGAAAGCTGAGATTTTTACTATTATACATAGTAAATATATTTGTTTAACTTGTTGTATTTACGTTTAGTAATTATGTCTTACACTGAAAGGAATGCAGTGGCTTATAGGTTTAATTTGGTTATTTTTAACAACTGTTTTTTGATTTTTTAGCTGAAAACACCTCGATTGATGAAGTTGACAAGGAGCATTCTGTTCATAGGATTTGTATTTTGATAGCAATGTGGGTTAGTCTAAAAATGTCTTCAAACACGTATTATTATTTAGAACACAATGATGATGTATGTGTAGTAGTACTAAAAGAGGGTAAAGACGAACTTGTTGTAAAATACAGATCGTTTCAAGGCGAATATTGGCAAGTAAATGCCTTTGACATTGATATTACAAAAAAAGAACTAAATGTACAACTACGTGAAGATATCAGTACTCCGCTTGAGTTAAGTAGCCAAAATTAATAGAAATCAAACGTTTATATCTTTTAAAATTATATATATATATAAATAATTAATGTTTGCTTATTGCACTAAATTAGTTTATTTGATATATATTTATTTATTGTTATTATTATGTAGTATTGATGTTTCACTATTATTAGTATTGCCATTGTTATCATTATAATTATCAGTCGATTGTTATATGCAAAATAAAATAAATAAATTATAAAATAAACGCTTTTGTTCACGATTTTAAACACATTTGTTGCGAATTATTATTGATATTATGGCGATCAACCTTATCGTGTCTACCCTAATACAACAAAATAATTTTTAAGCACATAATTGTCATTAGGTACAATGTTTTTGTTGATATTTGTATATTGACATATGTATTTTTTATCTGTGAACATCCGTTATTTTTCTCTAAAACATAAAAATCAAATCTAAATGAACGTTTTTTTAATAATGTACTCTATAAGGTATTGATGTAAGAGGACCAATCTAATGAAATACTACTACTAGGTAATACTCACTCACATATAATACTTTCTTACTGTGTTTGGACTATACTGGTTTGACCCTACTATCCACAGATTCACATTGTAGTGTTTATGTTATTCTATCAATTGAATATCGTACACATATTATATTTTGTAAGTCTTCGTTTTTTTTTCATAACCTAAATATAAAATCTAAATTAACGTTTAGTAAATTTTTGATATTATGCTCAAAATGTAATTGATATTAGCGGACAAATTTAATGAAATTTTTTTGTTTTTAATGACAATGATTTAACAATGACATTAATTCTACAATTCATCAAACTATGATATTTTTAAACTTTCTTAAACATAAGCCCGAAAATTTATTTAAAAATAAATGGTTGAACTTTAAATACTTTAATTGATGGGTAGCCCTTTGAGTAGTGAAAATCGATTATAATATATTCAGGAGTTTTGAATTTTTTTGTTGTCTGGGTAATTATGATTTAAATTTATAGATACAAAACAATATTCACTTTAGGAAATTCATTTTAAAACTAAGTTATTGATTGTTCAGACTTTTCTATGGATAGAATGGTTGCGGCCAATGGAGGGTGTGAGAGCAAGAACTTAGAATAGGATATTAGTATTAAATGAGTAGGAAGAAACGCGAAAAGATTTTGTACAAATTATATAGTTAAAGCAGTTTGTTATATTTATCCATTACAGTTCCAATTAATTAATGCTAAAATTTTAATACCTGCATAAATATAAGTATCAAAAACTGGTTTAAAAATATAACATTTATTAATATGTTCGTATTTTTTTTTATACTTTAAAATGTAACGCCCTAATGAGTACAAGTAGAGTGGGAGGAAACGTGAAAAGATATGGTGATTAAAATATCAGGGGCATTAATAGAACCTATAATTTATATATAACCTGGTTATTAAATAAAAGTGTTAATATATTTGTATTTATGTTTTATTTTGAAAATATCGCATACAAAGTACAATATATGAAGTACAATAAAATAGGAAGTATGATAAGTTAGTAGTATATAGAACTTTTGGCTTTTTTAAATGATAAAATTTGCTTTATATATACTTTTGTTCTCTCAAAAATTTTAATTAAGTAAACTTGAAGTTGGGAAGAATTCTTTTAAGAGTTCTCGATTATGAAATAGTCATTTGGCACCCTTTTCAAACAAACGTCCATATAAGAATTGAGTAAATACAGAATACACTTTTAGTACTTTTGTCATAAAAATACAGCAGCCTCTTTACGAATACAATGCTTCCCGCATTTTCCTTAACTTCTTACCTTGACTGATCTTTAGACCAACGCAGATCTCTATTCTATTTAAACACCCCTTTTAGGCTCTATCAATGAACCTGATATTCTAATAACTATATCTTTTTACGTTTCTTCCCACTCTGTTAGTACTCATTGAGGCGTTAAATTTTAAAATGACAAAATAAATACGAATATATTAATAAATATTATATTTTCAAACCAGTTATTCATAAACAAATCTATGCAGGTGATGAAATTGAAAGTTTGACCCAACTTGGACAGGCGAGAAGAGAACTTACTGGAAAAGCTATTATAAATGTACTTACCCAAAAATTGGTGATTATAATAAATATAGTTTTAATATTTTTTCTCTTTTAATAACATACAATTTTTAAAAGGTTATTCATTATAAATAACAAGATCAATTTTTTTTAAACTATTAGAAAATTTGCGTTTTTTTTGTGACGCGTTATGAAACTATTAAAAATTTACTTACCCAAAAATTAGGTGATTATAATCACCTAAAACATAGAGTTGAACATTAAAATATAGAGTTTTAATGTTATTTATGATTTAGTAAAATCAATTTTTACAGGGTTATTCTTTATAAGCAACACGATCAATTTTTTTTAAATTAATTTAAAATTAAAAAAATTATTGAAACTTGAGTGGGGCATTATATATATACTATTTACATTTAATTTAAAATTTGTTTTTTTTAGATACGTTAATTTTGTTTATTTTACAATATTCCACATTTAAAATTTCTTCTCAAGCTCTAGAAACAATTTACAATAATTAATTATTAATTAACAAATTAGAAATAAATAATTTTCTGAAAATGTTGAATGGTTGACAACTAGTTTTGGATAATTACTTTTTTAGTTGTTTTACTGAAGTTTAAAATTTAGGAAGGGAGGTGGGTAGGAATGCCGTAGAGTAATGCTTGTAGATTACATTAATAATCTAGGTCATTTGTTATAAATAACACAATCAATTTGTTTTGAACTAATAGAAAATATGTAGATTTGATTTTTTACAATAATTTATACTTAAATTTTCTTTTAGATCTATAGCAACAAGAATACATTTTTGGAAATGTTAACTGGTCTAGATTTGGATAATAAGTTTTGAATTAATTTTTGCTCCCTTCTGTTCTGGGACATAATAATTATCCTCAAATAGTTATCGACCACTCAAAATTATCTTATTTTTACTCATAATTATTTCAACTTTTTTGATTACTGGGACCCCGGTTTAATATTTACACATCATATATAAAAATGTTCAGCTTTCTAAAATTGTTTTTTTAAGAAATCTTAAATTTTGGAGAACACGTAAAAATACCTTTATGAATTATAAAATCAATTTTAATGTCTGTTACACAAAAAAAATCATAATTTTTTTCAAAAAGCTGATATTTTATGTAAATTAAAAATAATTGTATAACTTGTTTTATTTACGTTTAGTAATTGAGTCTTGCACTATAAAGCAAAATAGTGACTATTAAGCTATATGTAGCAATTTTTAACAACTATTTTCTTTTTTTTTTAGCTGAAGTCGTTCCAGTTGATAAATACATCTTGTCTGTTCGTAAAATTTGTACTTTGATAGCAATGTGGATTAGTTTAAAAACAACTGTATTAACGATTACCAATGGTGTAGGTTAGGTTAGGTTAGGTTACATAACATTTATTTTAAAATAGCTATATTACAGAGTGATTAACTTAGTGAAACAATCGAATTTTTTTTTTCCATAAAGTTTTCTTATCACAATGTGATCTCTAATTCTTCCAATTTTTTTTTTTTAATTTAGCACTCTTCTAAACTTAAACGGCGATGCATAAAGTTCATTAACTGTTTTAATTGTGAATAATGTACTAAAAATGTGGAACTGGTCGATAACCAGTTTTGGAGATAATCTATGTGCCTAAAACCGAAGAGTAATTGCAGCAATTTTTTAGTGTCCAAATTTTGATTTGTATTCCAACTACCAATATGTTTCTAAAATATAATTCTTTTATTTATTGTGTAATTATTAATTGCAACTATAATATTAACTTGAAATCAGAATAAATACAGTATAAGTGTTCGCTATAACTTTTGTAAAGTAGAGTTCTACTTTGCATGCTTGTTTGTTGAAACATATAAAAAAAATAATAAAAAAAATAATCGTTTCAAAAAACAACTTGATATCTGAGAAAATATAAAAACAGTGAAAAAAAACCTCCAATCGCATCTATGACTCATAGGCTATGAAGCATGCGTTATTGAAATTCAGGTCAGAGTCTCAACGGAAAATAATGTTATAGGTATTCAATAAAAATGTAAATACATTTTAAAAATATAATATTGCTACTGACCCCATAAATGTTTTATTGGATAAGGTGAATGATATAAGGTGCTGATATTTTTAATGTTTTTTCATCTTTATTTTTTAAGTATACCTACTGTTTTTAAGGTTGAATCATTATAGACTAATACAGTTTGTAAAGTAAACGTTACTTTTTTACAGTAAAATTCATAAACATTCGTTAAATTATAAAAGTGTACGATGCATTAAGTTGTTTGTCATTTAATTACATTGCAGTAGTCATTGTAGAAAACAACATGTTCTAAATAAAAAACTAACAACATATAACTGTACAAATTGTGGGAAAATATTGTATTTAGTTTTACAAATGTATCATTAACTTTTGTGTAATTAAGACATTTTAGCTGAAAAAGTTGAATATGTTATCATTTGTGTATGTTTGAACTATACATGTTCTTGCATTGTAGAACCCTGATGTTAGAAAAGTTATTATAGACGAATATTTAAATTTGTATTTCATACATATTATAAATGACGAACCCTACTAATACAATTTTTTTAAAAAATATAGAAATAATAAAAATTAATTAAGGGCATTACGTGGTGCATAGGACAATTAGGCTTTCAGGCGGCACAGGAGAATAGCTGTTGT